ATTAAGTCGAGGACTACCTACTGTATACTGTACCTAAAAGGAACAAATCAAGCTGTGCTTTGTAAATGTCTAGTCTTTTTGAAAGACTCAAAAGGTCTTTTGAATTAAAAGATTCATTTAAAATCCTGAAAAATTACTGGTACTTTTCTGTCTAATCGTTTATCAAAAACAAAAGCAGAAGCAGTTGTTGTGAAGAGGGTTATAACTGGGTTGATATATTTTGTGTTAGTATTACTAGGGGTAAGGTCTTTCCTAACAACCTTTCCATTCCGCATAGTCTTGACAGTGATAAGAGAAGCATATAGATCTGGCCTCTTTTCCTATATTCTAATCAATGTATCATGGAAAACTGTGTGTGTTTGCAAAACAATACTTGGTTCCAGTAGAAAAGTTCCCTGCTTGTTACAAATAAAAAAAATAACAGAAGCATCATTCTTTTTTTTGTGATCTTATTGGATTCATGATCTTCTCTTTTTTTTTTACTTGAAATAATCCAATCTTGCCCTAACTGCTGATCTTCAGGTACGCTGAGGAATACCAGGTTGGGGAAAGCTGGAGCAGAATCACTCCCCAATTTCCCAGCATGACCATTCATACTGTTTTTCTACTTATAGGATAGTTGGGTGCATAACTGCAATCAACTCCAGAAACTCTACAATATGCCCATCTCTTTTTGAGTAAAGCTTATGTTTTCCCATTCATACTTTGGACAATGGTTGTTTGAGATGGAAAAAATAAGCCAGGTGACAAACATGTCATACATTTCCCATTCCTATACATTTAACATAAGAAAATGAATATACATTTTCTTATTCCTGTCACACCTGGGGGGCGTTGATCAGGTGACAGCACCAAGCCAACCTTGGCTGATAACACTGAACAGGGTCTGACTTGACTAGCACCTGAAGTTGCTGTGCTATAGACAACTAGCCTGAAAATTCAAAAAGGAATAGCAAATCCCTGCATTGGTGTCAGAAAAACGACGTTTGATTTCTATAGCCCTCTATCTCAACAAGTGATTCTGGTCATAAAGTATTATTACTTTATTACCTTGTCAAGAATTCAAATAATAGTTCTGTAATCCAGCACAGGATTCTGCCTTTTAAAGAGGATCTATGGAGAGACATCACCACTATGCCATGGAAGTGAGACCAGCAATAGATACAGGGCTGTATCTTGTGCCACAACTATGAATAATCAGAGTTAAGTATTATTAGTCTTTTTCCTTATTATTTCAAAGTCCATCAGGTGAAATATACAGATTTACAAAGCTTTGGCTGATAGAAGAGAGAAGCACACCTTGTAGTATAATAATAATAATAATAATAATAATAATAATAATAATAATAATAATAATAATAATAATAATAATAACAACAACAACAACAACAACAACAACAATAATAATAAAATTGGAAGGGACCTTGGAGGTCATCTAGTCCAACCCCCTGCTCAGGCAGGAAACCCTATACCATTTCAGACAAATGGTTGTCCATTTTTTTAAAAAAAACGTCCAGTATTAGAGCATTCACAACTTCTGGAGGCAACTCATTCCACTGATTAATTGTTCTAACTGTCAGGAAATTTCTCCTTAATTCTAGGTTGGTTAGTTAGTTTCCATCCATTGTTTCTTGTCCTGTTCTCTTCTATTTGGAGAATAGATTGACCCTCTCTTCCTTGTGGCAGCCCCTTAGATATTGTTTAATAGCTCTTGATTCTACATCAGAGAGTGAGGAACTTGTGAGTCTCTAAATGTTTGCTGAGCTACAACTCTCAGTATCCTCATCACAAATCATGTTGAGTGGAGAGGCTGGAAGTTGTAATTCAACAACATCTGAAAATCACAGGCTCGTGCTCCTATTCCACATCATTTTCACTTTGTCCAATGTTGCAAGTAGAAGGTTTATTGATTTTGTCTTCTATAGCATGTGGTGAAATATTCCAAAATACCACAAACCTAAGTATGCTAAACCTAAGTATGCAATAACATATCCAGATTTCTTTTGACATTTGTGACTGTTTATCTAGAAAGTGACAGAATATTTTCTCACAATTAATTTTAAGTTATATACTGTACTGTATATCTATATTAAGGTGTATATACACTGTAATATTTAAAATAATGAATATTACTTAACATAATGAATATTCCCCCATCATTGCCTCCATCTCCATCTCCATCTCTAAAATAGCATTCCCCTGGAGAGTCAATTCATAGCAACTTTATTGGGAATTAGGAAAGCAGTCAAAACTTAAAATCCCATAAATTAAAGAAGTCAGATAGAGAGAAATAAATTTACATACTTCCTCTATCTGACTTCTTTAATTTATGGGATTTTAAGGTACTCAGAATCTTAATTGTTGCAGTATTGATTCATTTCTATTGGATATTTTTAATCTTAAACAAATTACCTTACTTTTACGAAACTAAGAATTCAGTGGCCTCACTCACCCAGAAACATACACACTGTTAATAAAGTTTTTTTTAAAAAAAAAAAAAAAAGATAAGCAGCAAAATAAGAGGCAACAAATTAATATCAATTTCTACTAATTAGACGACAAGACAATAAAATTAAGATAGATGGCTCAACATCCTCCTGGTCACATGTATTTTTCATGTATTCAGGCATACTTTTAGTTATATATAACATTTTAAAAATGCCTAATGAGCTATAATTACGTTTTATAGATATTTAAATAAAGTACTGCATTGCAAATGCATATAATTTAAAAATCTGAATAACTGAAATATTCCAATCTGCAAATGAATTGAGAAGTGTGCATCAACTCAGTTTTACAGCAGAATGCAAACAATTTGACAAAAATAAAAGCAACTGAATTTTACTGATTCATTGAATTACTTAATAAAATTTTACCAGAAAGTTTTGTTAAATCAATTAAGCCTCCCAGGGAAGCAAAGGCCTACATCCTGATCTAGATCATCCAATTAGTGATGAATTCTCAACAAAAGAAAATAGTCCTTCAGTCTATCAAGACTCAAGATGCTTAAGATCTCAAAATTATTTTGTCTTGGGGCTTGGAAGTGAACAAGGAGCCAATAGAGAAAAATCAGCAAAATTATTCAGCAAAGATTTGGGGACAATGGTCTTAAGATGACCTCCAAAAATGTTCTTGCTTGAAGTAATTATTAAAATTATAGAGAAAAGTTCATAGATCTTATTCACAAATGTTCTCAGAAACAAGCATTTAAACATTATGATACAGCAAATAAACATCCCACTTAACTCTTCAAAGACTTGTTATCAGTCAACAAACTTCTGATGGTAGGTTTGCCTGCAGACAGAATATAGACTATTCCACAACTGGGCACTTGTACCCCTCCCAGGAAAAAAGATTTATTCTCAGTAAAATCAGGGCTTTGATGACATCTTAGGAATAAAAACTTTCTCTATGCAAAGAAAAAAACTACCTTTTATGTAGTTTACTATGAAAAGACAGCTTTTTGTACTGAGGTACAGTTAGCTATATGAGATTCTTCCTGCCTTCTACAATCTAAAACAGTACAATGCAAGAGACAGATTAACAACCTGAATCAAAACTAGGACTTTGATACCACAGGGAGTTCCTCCATAATATCACCATAAATAAAAATACTTTAAGAAATTGCACTAGTCCTTTGAAGCCCAAATAATTTATAGTTATATTCTGTTTATCCTGGGTTTGGTCCAGGCTAATCTGTTGCACCTCATTTCTTCTGAAATCTTTAGAAGTGAAATCACTATATAACTAATTCACTCTGTTGAGTTAAAGCAAGTGGCAGATCTCAGTGGCCTTAACTAAACTCAAAAACAAGAGAATTGGATCTAAATCATATTTGGATTGGGTGACCACAAAGGAATCACAGGGCTATAGATTAAACTAGTATGCTTTTTTTAAAAAAAATGACTAACCACTTTTGTCTGGTTGCCAAGAAACATGAATATGTCCATATAGTTTCCAGGAATCACATTCAATCTGAGGGATACCTTATCTACTCTTTCTTGTAATCAGTTCTGGTCAGACACTTTTACTTAATATAAAACTTAATTCCTCTTACTAACATTAAAGCTGATTAAAATATGCTACCTATGCATCACTTGCTGGGACACCCATTTTATTTGTCCATTCAATATTTATATTCATAGTAGATTTATAGCCACAGTTGGATTAAAATTTACTGAATATTTTCCTGGGGAAGATACCATAATATGTACATGCAAAGGAAAACCTATACAAACTATGATACATTCTTCGTTTTAACAATAAAAAGTTTCAAGAACTCTGTATACTTAAGCAGATTTCATAAATCTTTAGGCATATCTATTACATCTAACTTTATTTATTTATTTGTGAATGCTTCTAAACCAGTGTTTCTCAACCTTAGCAACTTTAAGAAGTCAAAACTTCAACTCCCAGAATTACCCCGCTAGCATGGCTGGCTGGAGAATTCAGAATAACAGAGTTGGGAAGGGACCTTGGAGATCTTCTAGTCCAACCTCCTGCTCAAGCAGTAAACCCTATACCATTTCAGACAAATGGTTGTCCATTTTTTTCTTAAAAACTTCCAGTATTAGAGCATTCACAACTTCTGGAGGCAACTCGTTCCACTGATTAATTGTTCTAACTGTCAGGAAATTTCTCCTTAATTCTAGGTTGGTTAGTTAGTTTCCATCCATTGTTTCTTGTCCTGTTCTCTTCTATTTGGAGAATAGATTGACCCTCTCTTCCTTGTGGCAGCCCCTTAGATATTGGAACACTGCTATCATGTCATCCTTTTTATTAAACTAGACATACCCAATTCCTACAACCATTTCTTCATATGTTTAATATATCATATTCCAAAATAGCATATATATTTAAAAAATAAAGATGTTAGCAGATACTGAACAGCTTGTATTCCCAAGAAACAGAAAAAGGGTGGAATGGGATGATAGTTCCATGAGAAAATGAAAGCTGCTAATCTGTTTTCCAAGTGAAACATTTGAGGTGATTGCTCTAACCTGGAGCACAGTACATTCTCTCTATGGCATCGTTGTCACAGGAATCTTCAACCTCACTCCACCTGCTAAAATACGTTAGCTGAATGTGTCCTAAAAACAAAACGACAGGAGAAATCAAAACATTTTTCCCTTCCATTTTATGCAGAAGTGAACTGTAATTACTCCTTTTGTAGCTAAAAACAGTATCATTAAGAATAATGGCATCATTAAGTACTAGAAGCTATTACTGGGGGTGAATTTGCTGCACTGATAATGAAGCTCTAGACAGGAAATGAAGATACTAATTACAAGATAAAACGCCTTCTCAGTTAATTGGGAGCAACAGCGAATAAAAAGAAATGCATTTGCAAAAGTTCCTGACCTCGATCATTCAATAAGATGTTGTTTGGGTTCAAATCGCGGCACACAATTCCTTCTCGATGCAAGGCATCAAGGGCTACAACCATTTCAGCTGCCCATCTTTGAACACAGCCTTCAGGGAGGTAAAATCTGGAGGTTAGTGCTAATCTCTCATCCAAGTCCTGAAAAAAATGATGTATTTCATTCTCTTCTCTGCTCCTCACACCCAACTCTTTGCTTTCTGCTTTGTGGGACAAAGAGGGAACTGTTCCCTCTTGACAGTTTTCTTCAGTATGATCAGAAAACAGCAACACAGCTTCACTGTCCACATCTAAGCTGTCTTCTGCAACATCTACGTTTGCACTGGCAACCATAACATTGTCCTTTATGCTGAAAATATCTAAAGATGATGATGCTTCTCCAAGTCCTTGAAAGGCCATCCTGTTCCCAAAACCAACTGAGTCAGTATCAGCTGTATGGGATGCCCTAACTGCTTCCTGATTGTCTTTGCATAGTCCTTGTGATTTTCCTTCCCTCAGATGCTCTACCTTTTGCTCAAGCTCTCTGCTTTGTTCTGCACTGTTATTCAATTGCAAGACATCGGGAGTTTCCAAAAGTTTGCTTTCCAAGATGTCTCCATTCTGTTCCATCAGTTTTGTTGGTCTATCCACTGAAGCCTCTTTCATTTGCTCCATAATGCCTGGCAAGTTGACCAAAAGGTCAGGTCTTCCTTCATCAATACTACCGACCTCATCAAAGGCTACATCCTTAAATGATATCACAGGCACAGAGTCATTAGAACCCCTGCTGATAGTGTCCTGAGATGCAAATCCTAACCTGTTTTCAATGGCTTCAAGGCTCTTATCCTGATCTAATGTAGGAAAAAACGGTTTGAAAGATTCTGATTTTAAGTTATGAAGTTTATCTCCAAAATCAAGCCCCAGAAGGTCACTGGTGCTATCTTTGCTATCAATTCTGAAAAATTCCATGGGGCTGTTCTTGGATTTATTTAATGATTCTGATATCATAGTAGGATTGGCAGCTTCCGGATCCACATCGTCAGCAAACTCTTTTATTTCCTGACACGTGAATGCAGATTCCAAGTTCCCAGAGGCAGCTTCATCTTGCACTTTGAGGACTCTTTGCTCATTGGTAATGAGAACATTATCATCTGGTTTCAGGACAGATTCCTCATTTAATGAACCAGGGTCAATTTTTTCTTGACTGTATTCATTGCATAATGTTAGATAACTTGTGGTACATTCCTCTTCTGAACTAGATCCGGAGTCAATCCATTTAGGGGAACTTTCCTGATCTTCTTCTTGGTTACTACTACCATCTTGAAAACTTGGAGTGAGACTGTCCTGCAGTGGTAAAACCTTTAATACATTGTCCCCGTTACTTCTTCTGGAGCCAAGGCTATTGCGGATATCCTGAGGACTAGGACTTGCCTGATGCAAATGTATTTTGGTACAGCTGGATTTTCTGGATTTAGGGGCTTCAAAGCTTTCTTCGGGGCTCCTATTCAAGAATTTACTAATGTAAGACCAAAGTTTGCCTCCTGTAAGAAAAAAGAAAGTAACCAAAGTTAGTTGTATTTCATTAATGCCTAACTATGGCAGATGGTGCAATTATATGTAAGAAGTATTAACACTGGTGGAAGATGGTATCCACTCTTATCCTCTAACAGAATGCAGTTAGGTGCTAGCATTACAATAGCATTAATCTGATATTTCTGCATTTTTATACCATCCATCATTTGCAACAGCAATGATATTTAAACATTCTAAATGGTTTATAATGAAAGAAACAGGAGAACCTCAGGAAAAAAAGTCAGGAAACAACACAAAGTATGCATTTCACATCTACCAGCTTGAAAAGTGTTCAGAATGCCCAAATCAAGATCTTAGAAAATCTGGGCACTTAGAAAAACTGCCCACTGACAAAATGTTCATCCAATATATATTATGATGATCAATTACAATCTCCTAAAATCTTCGGAAGAACTCAATACATGAAGGCCAACATCTGCTAAAGATTAGGCAGCTGTGATTTCACATTCTTGTGTACGTAGTAATAAAGTAATAGAAAATGAAGAAGGTAATTTTAATTTTAATTTTTTATTTTTTCACTATACAACAAAAATAAAACTGAAAAATACATTTTTCCCTTAACAGAACTGTGTTATACATCTCATATATATTATTTACAATTTATTTACATCAGTAATCATGTCTTTTTTTTGTTGTATAGTGAAAAAAGGAAAAATTAAAATTAAAAAAAGAAGAAAATGAAGAAGATAAAATGATCTTAGATTTTAGAATTCAAAAAAACAAGCATCTACCACATAACACCCCAGACATAACAACTGTTGATAAGACAAAAAGGTCTGGACAGTGGATGTGGCAGTACCTGGAGGTAGCACAGTAAAAGAGAACAAAAATGGAGAAAATCACAAAATAGAAACCCTGCAAATAGACATAGAATGAATATTGGGAAAAAACAAAGATAGTACCAATAGTAATAGATGCTTTGGAATTGGATGCAACCTCAAAACATCTGGAACACCACTTGAACATCATCAGCATTGACAAAATCACCATGGTCAATTTCAAAAAGCAGCTTTACTTGGAATACCTTACATCCTGCAGTGGTAACCTTTAACACCATCAAACCACATCTCCCTATCTCAGGTTCTTGGGAAGGACTGGATAGGTAGATAAAAATGCCAAAACCAGCCTGAACATCTGGATGACTGGATGAGTGACCCATAATAACAACAATTTTGTGGGGATCTTGCTGCTTTTTTTCTCTCTAGCCCTCCCCCAGTTATAAAAAAGAAAAACAACCCTCCATCCTCCAGTTTCAATCCCCTCATCTCTGTATCACATTCATAAATACACTCCATGGCAGGAAGAACATCCATAACCAATAAAGATCACTAAATATAGTTTATCAGTCACATTGCTGCAAATACCTGTCAATATTCTGAGGCCATAGGTCAGCTGACTATCGCCTCAGTTTAGATCTACCATATATTTTAAGTAAACTATGAGCTTGAAGTGGAACTCAAAATGGAAGTCAATGGGAGCCTTGCTTGTTGCTCATAAATTACTGAAATTAAAAATGTGACATGTATTTAAATGTATTGGCCACCCAACTCCAATGCATCCTAAAAGAAAACCATAAAAATGGCTAAAAGCATTAAATTAGACATGAACTCCATTTCATTTGAACTTCTTTCAGCTCACAGATGCAGTCACACATATTTATCAAATAGATTTTAAGCACTAAGACATAAGAAAAGCTGACTGGATAAGACCTAAGGTCCACAAAATGTAGCACTGTGCTTTTACATACAGAATGAGCCTAAAATGGTGGTGGTTGTCTTTAAAACTCAGCTCTTCTGGAATTCTTATGGTACAATAATAAAAGAGCCTTAAAATTGCCTTAATTGTCATGTAGTTCAATGTTATCTATTACAGCTGGCTTTGGCTCTCTAGCTTTTTAGAACAGATTTTTCTTATTACCTGCTAGTTTTTACTGGAAATGTTAAAGCTTTTCATTGGAAATGCTAGGGCTTAAAGTTAGGGCCATCAGAATGTAAAATGTGTTTACAACTGAGCTATGAGACTTACACCAGTAGATAACAAAGTTCTACTTGCAATTACATCTGTTTTTATCCAGCTGTTGTTTATTCTGGCCTTTTCTTTCCATACTCCCTTTTTAAAATAGCAATCTTTTTTACTGTCCCACCCAACCTAAAATTAGGTTTTAAGTTCCTGGAGGTAAGGGAACTATGTTTAGTTCCATAAAGTGATTGTGCTTGATAAATTATTATCATTATAAATGTATTTTTACTGAGAATCACTTTGCTGAGGTAGTTAAGGTAACAGGCTAGAAACCACTAGATCAGGGGTGTCAAACTGCCGGCCCGCGGGCTGGATGCGTCATGCCAAAACTGTGCCCATCCCATTGCTGGCAATGGAAAAAAAGTTGTGATGCGTCGCGACATGTCACGTGACGTTGCAAGTTTGACACCCCTGCACTAGATCATGAATTTGAATCCCACCCTAGGCATGAAGTCAGCTGGGTGACCTTGGGTGAGTCACTCTCTCTCTCAGCTCTAGAAAGAAGGCTATAGCAAACCACTTCTGAAAATGCTGCCAGAAAAACTGCAGGGATGAGACCAGGCAGTTGTCAAGAGTCAACACTGACTAGAAAGCACAAATATGTATACGTATTGCCTATGTATATGTGTATGTGTGTATATTTCTAAGCTCCAGGTTTGAGATGCTTTCTGAAACCTTGCCATTATTTTACCAGCACCCTCCAAAGTTTGAGAAGGTGCTCATACAACTATTTGCAAACATTAACCTTTTAAATAAAAGAAACCTTCACTAGTATATGGTACATACTTTGATGTAAACCAGGGGTCCCCAGGCCCGGTGCCAGTCCATGGCCCATTGGGAACCAGGCCATGCAAGCAGCGGGTGAGTGCGTCAGCCCGCAAAGCTGCATTTGTGCAAGCGGCACACACGTGAAACCATTTCCTCCCCCTCCCACTGCCGCCACCGTCAGTACACAAAGCTGGAAAGGTTGGGGACAGCTGATGTAAACCACGAATAATCATTTCAATAATCATCAAAATTCAACTATTCTTTCATGTATGTGTGCACAGAATAGCAATGAAATGCAAATATGCAAAGAAATGTTTTTTAATCATTGTGCAAGTTGAAAGCGGGAATCAACAATGTTATTTTTTTTCCAAATGTCCAATTTAGGTCACAGAGGAGCAATATTTCCATCTCGGTATATCATTAAGTCTTTATAAATGACACACTAATAATCTTTTTCATCTTATACTGCTGTAGCTAAGATTCAGTAGTAAATGCATTTGCCAATGTATCTGATTATTGGCCATCCATTATCATGTAAAATTACCCATATTTGGAGAGTGGGAAATCAATTGATTCAAAGAAGTTTCCATAAGTCTGCAACCTTATCTTTCAAATATTTGTATTCCTTTATAATAAAAATGTTAACAAGAATCAGTTTGAGGCATGCTTCTTAACATGCGGTTCTCCGTTTCCTTTATTTAATTTCAGCATCACAACCCATCTGTGAAGATTACCAATTTGATTTCTATTTACAAATGAATAACTGAGGCTGATGCTTTTTGCACTTTCATCCTCCAAAACCCTGGATCTTAATCTAGTGTTGTTTTGTGACAATATATGAGGTCCCAGGTATGCAAAGTATGGGATATTCCAACCCATGAGTAAGATGGGTGGGTGGGTGGGTGGATGGATGAGTGGATGGGCAACTAATTGCCAGGGTTGAGCCTCAGTCTCAACTGCCAAGGTGATGGGCAGGGCCAAGGAGTAGAGGTGCAGCATTCTGGGAAACAGCAGCAGCCAATCAGATGGTGGTCCTGCACCATCCCAAGGTGCTATGCTCCTTTGCCTATAGACCAGCCAGTGTATCTACAGAGATGGGGCAGGATCTGGCTCTTTACAAAACATTTGCCAACACCTGATCTAAAGTATTAGCTATCCCTCCCAATCTTATGTCACTTCAAACTTTCTAAGCATCCCAACTTTTTCATCCAAATTATTAATAAAAACATGGAATGGCCCAAGGCCCAGGCCAGTGCCATTATGTCCAACATCATTGCATAAAGAGAAATTTGATTGGCACACAGACCATGTGATATAAAGCCTGACACACCAAAATAAAAGTTGGCCAAATTCTGATGGAGGCAAACTCTGCACAACCATTGCAACTATTCTGGGGTTGGGAAAGTGAACAAACTTTTTTAGGCACTGTGGGTTACAAGAATAGGGGAATGACAAAGCACTTTTTAATGACTATGAGGAAATTTGAAGGTAATATTACTGATGGCAGCTTTTTGATAGAATAGCTGTGTGAAGCCTATGTGGAAGTTTAACATACTTACTGTACTGTTTAAGTTAAAATGACCTTGCTGCCATGTTTAAGTGACATAATCAGGAGGGCCTTCTGGGAACCACAAAAAAGAAGTTAGGCTATCCTTCCTGACTCAGAATTTAAATACTAATCAGTTACAGCATTGACAAAATTAAAATAGGGAATAGTTCTCTGTTTTCTGCTCTTAGGGCAACATATGACCATTAAGGTTCAAGGAGGAGGGCTACTAAACATTGCCTGCTATAGAATTAGTGTTCATTAACAGGAAACATCATCATTTTGAAGTTTCTTATGCGCTTTCCAGATGAATATGAATTTTAACACATTTATGCTGAAAAAGATGTGACACTTCCCAGCAGCCATTCAAGCTTAAGTTTGATCTCCATCAAAATCTTCCTTCAATGTCCCTCAAGACTCTCTTTGAAGCATCTGTTTTTACCATTTCTGGCACTGATGCCACTAAGTAGTAGTGAAGCTTCAAAATGTCTTGCCAAGTGCTTTGTGACAAAACTAACAGATGCTTTATGAATGTTCTCACCTTTAACAAACTATTTACTACATTGTAATGTGGAGGAAGCTTGTACTGGATTCAGCACCAATGCTTGGAAAAAGAGGAAAACTTTTCATTACTGATACTTATTTTCAATGGCACTTTTAACCTTTTAGATCCTAGAAATCCAACTTAATATTTAGACTGAACAGATACATTCTGCAATTGTGGAAAGACTGAAGGAATTAATCTATAGTTGTTTGACATGTGACTGGAGCTTCTCCATCTCCTATCTATATACAACTTTTTCCAGATGGTAATTCTTAAATAAGTGTGGAGGTAAAGCTCACCATGGTAAGTTGGCACCTTAAAAATTTAAATACTGGCTTTAGTTGCAGTGACATAAGTAACATGAGGCATCCCTTTACTGCAGTGTTTCTCAACCTTGACAATTTTAAGGCATGTGGACTTCAACTCCCAGAATGGCTGTGGAATTCTGGGAATTGAAGTCCACATGCCTTAAAATTGTCAAGGTTGAGAAACACTGCTTTACTGCATGCTAGTGCTAAAGAAATAGGCAGGTTACAATGCCCATCCTAATTGGGCCACTATGGTTGTTAAACAAAGGCATTTTTAAAAATAAAAGGCAGCAGTAAGCAACAGCCTCTCAAAAACTTCTGAAATGATCGGAGGCCTGTCAGATTCTGAGCATCTGCCACCAACTCACCACTGTATTTACAATAGGTGGCTACTGCGTGAGTCAACTGTATCGTGTAAACATAGTTCCCAAAATTAGAAATAGCACTGGAGATCAGTCCTGAAGCTATTACTAGCCAAAGATAGGCTTAACTCCATCCATGTTGGTTTTTTTAACATGTGACTGTACACAGGCAAAGAAGTTATGTTTTGAGTTTTTTGACTATAGGTAAATCGTGTTTATATGACCCAGGCCAAGGGATTTGTCTTAATATTCTCACTGAGCCCAACTAAGCAGGTTATTCTTACAAAATAACCAGCAGCATCCATGGGGGGAGCATCAAAAAGAAATTGGTGACAATGAATATGCTTCTCTCTTTAATTCATATTGTTCACTTCAGTGCAAGCAAGACCTGGAGAGCTTCTCACCTTTTCCTGAGAAATGATTCTGGTTAACTGAAACTGATTTGGTTAGTCGTCTGAAACTCCACAATAGAAGTTCCAACTCTTTGAACATGCTTGCAATGTAGATGCGTGACCCATAGGTCTTACTGAAGAAAACAGTACCTTAGTGAACCATTCCTGCCCCCCATGTACAGACGGGATCTATGGATTTGGCAATATGCATTCACCGACACCAGTGGAGTTTCTGCCTGACACATACAGAAGCCATACAAACATCCTTCACCATCTGGATCACTGCAGCAACAACCAAGACTCTCAGCCAGATAAAGTCTCCTTTTTAAAGACAATTTCCCTACAGTTATCACTTGTTCTAAGAGCATCATATGGAATTGTTATTTGAAGCAGAAAGGATTTGCAAACAGAATAAACAAATCAGCCTATCGCTGCATGGGATAAATATTTACCTCACTGTTTTACTCAAAGAGCACCTTAAGGAAAAGTTTGGTCTGTGTAACCTGTGTAGATCCAAAGGGGAAAGCAGCTGCTTTGGTGAATAGTGGAGCTACAAGAACTTTAGTGGGATGTAAATTATAAAAAACAATAATGTAACATAACAAAGAGCATGTATGCCTCAACACCCTTTGCAAGATAATCCCCAAAATTTTGGTTCAGAAGACTTCTAGCACCTTGATGGTATCACTTGAAGAAGCAGAGGCTTTCTTTCTCCCCTACCATCTCCCCCCTTCCCACAGCTCATCTGAATCCACAGACTAACCTTCTGCGTGATGCAGCACAAGGAAGACCGATTCCTCTGAGATGATGTACTTGTGCAAAGCCACCATGTTGGGCACACTGCGGGGGATGATGGTCTTTCTCTTCCTGCTGCATTCGCTACTTTTTCTTAGACCCTGACAGAGAACAGAAAGGTCAGTTGTACCCTCAGTTGCCTTTGGAGCATGCTGTGCTCTGTGCTTATCAACCAAACTAATCTATCCAAGTTACTCCAGGCTTCAGAGAAACCACTCATCTGCTGCTCTGTGCCCCTCAGTCCCCTGAGGCCCTGCTGATGGCATCTGGCGCACATCCAGAGAACAGAAGATGGCACAAAGCTGCCATTAAAATCAATTACATGGGTCAATGTTTTCATTAGAATCTCTCACAAACCAAGTCATCAGAATGACACTCAGTTATTTCTCTATGACCTTTTTCCCCCAGATATCTCTTGGGGGGAGAGGCAGGGAGGGCAGGGGCCGAGCTTGAAGGATCAAAGGAAACTGTTAAATCCATTCACAGTCAAAAGGCAAGTCTTGCCCCACCTTCAATTTGATAGAGTCGGGTATGCATACATTTCCATTGGGTCGAAGGGAAGATAGACTAGTAATGTGATTTGTTTCCTGAAGGTGTTATAGATTTTTAAAGATGGCACATAGGGAAAAAAAACCAAAACAACTTATGAAAGAAGCACTCCTGATAAATAAAGTGTGGTTGAATTATCGAAGATCACAATTAATTTTCACATGACCTCCAGCTATTGCTGGGGGTGGGGGTGGGGGAAACCAGCCCTGATTCTCTTCATCTCTTGGCAATGTCAAGAGGAGGAATGTAATAAAACAAAGCAATAAAACAAAAGTATGCATTACTACTATGCAAATATGCATTACTATTACTACCAGCTAACCCTCCGCTTTGTTTAGTGACCTACAAACTGTGCTCATTCCGCTTTATTAGATGATATTAGGAAATGGAGAAAGAGATGCGGGATTGTTATTCTCTCATCTCATACATTGTTTGTGGCTGGCCTTGTCATCTTCGTACTGCTTCCAAATTTGCAAATTAAACAAAGGCGTCTTCAAGTGGAAAAATATTAGATGAATAGGAATAGAAAACTCTAAAGCAGTGGAGGCCCCAACATATTGGCAAAGGCATCAGGAAGAGGAAAGCTTTGTGATGTATCCTATAGATGGGGAGTCATCTCCCAGATATTGTAGTACCACAACTTGTAGTAGTTTCAGCCAACATGGCCAACAGTGAGGAATACTAAGAAAGATTCAGATTTAGCAATCTAAATCACAAGCAAAAAAAGGTGGGCTAGGGAAACAAGAAAACAACAGCTATATACAAAACCACATAAATAAGTACAGTAGTGGCCCCTGAATTATCCTCTCCCATTCACCGTAAACATGAATAGTGGCAAACTAAGCAGTACAAGTGCTGGGAGAGAGCGAAGAATTACTTTAATATCAATATTTACTACTTCCACTATTGAACTGACCTAAATATTTCAGTGAAGAAAATGTAAACTATGCCATGGGACACTAATTGTAACAATTCCCTTTCCTTTGATGGTCAAAGCAGAAATAAGTGTTGCTAACAGCGGAAGCCATTTATTAGTTATGTAGCCTGCCACTGAAGATTAACAGATAAAACACAAACTCCACATTGCATTCTGGATTTTCTGGACTGAACTGTAAGCAGTGGGAAACAAGTTGCCATTGGCAAAGTGAATGATTTAGGAAAAATAATGACTTACCTTCAGTATGTATGTCTGTTGTGTCCTAGTATCCATTACAAGCAAAACCTAAATGGAAGAATAGAAATTAATCCAATCTGTCAGAATTTTCCAGTTATCAATATTAATATTTCCTCACTAATGATAAGAAATATAAGTCTCTAAAATGGACCTGACAGGCGGAATACACATATCAATTAATTTCTTTTTTATAAGATATGATAGCTGCAATACTTAATCAATAAATCAATTAGACTGATTATTTAAAAGTAAATCAGTAATAGTGTCAATTAAAATCTATCTCTAATTAGCAGAAGCATATTTTAAGCAATTAATTATTTTAAATGAAATACTTATAGGCATTAAAAATGGCAGGCAGAAAAGAGCATGGTCATCCTTGTAATCTCACACAGTAGCAGGTTTGCTACATTATTTAAAAACAAAAAGGTGACATGAAAATAAGAAAGTTTTTTTTAAAGTTCAAAATTATTTTCACCTGCAAATTTATGCAGTTCCAAGAACAGTTCATTGACAAATCTCGTAAGCGTAGTCGATTAAAAAAAAATGCATGAAAGCTCTGAATGTTTGGTATCTATTTCTGCTTTTGGATCCAGCATACATACCGCAGCAGAATTAAAGTTGTATGTACTGTTCTGTAAGGCACAGCAAACAGCACTGAAGTTTCTTATACTGACCCGCTTCATGCAGAACTTTTAAACGTAAACAAGATGCAGTGAGAACTATCAACTTACTTGTCTCTAGAACAGCTTGGATTAATTCATGGTCAAGAACTAACCATGCTTGTTAGTCAAAATCCTCTCCCAGTGCCTGGAATCTAATGGAGTCTGGCTGAGGAGGAATAGACTTAGACTCATTCTTAGAAAAACAATGAGCAAGTGGAAGCTCCCAAGGTATTTTGCAGATATACTGTATCTGCTACATTTATGCTTGTTTATCATTTGGGAAGACCTATTCATGGTCAATTGTACTTTAGATAGCTTTCATTTGAGTTACTACATGCAATATGCTTTACATGGGGCTTCCCTTTAAGACCATGCGGAAGCTTTAAATCATGGGTGTCCAACCTTTTGGCTTGCCTGCACTGCACTGAGTGAAGATGAATTGTCTTGGGCTGTATATAAAATATATAATATAGCTACAATCTTTACAATCTTGTGGGGCTGCATTACTAGCTATCCAGGGTCACAGGCAGACCATGGGCCATGGGTTGCACAAACCTGCTTTTGGCAAGTGAGCCAGCATTGTTTTTCTTTTGAGCATTTGCCCCGCTTAATTGTGGGATACACTTTTTGTGCTGCACTTGCCTAGTTCACACAGTGAAGCCATCAATGCACAACACAAAAGGGTTTGTTCTGCAGCTGCCAGTTTTGGAGCTGAGAAAAAGTGACTAACCAAAGGTCACCCAGTTGGCTTCCTTGTCTGATTCTGCTCCCACAACATATTTTATTGGCTCAATGAGAGGGGTTGGTTATGTGTTGCAGGAACACCAAAAAGGGATAGATTAACCCACTCAACTAGTTCCAAGGGATTGAATATAACCCAAACCAGAGCTAGCTACTTTATTACAGAATTCCCTCTGGTACCTGGCAGCTCAGAATTAATCTCTAATTGTTAATATATATGGTATTAGGTGGCAGCAAAGAAATATAGTACAGTAAATACTGCATTAGAGTTTTGTAGCCTAGATCTTATATCCCTAATTTCTTTCAAAACCCTGATTGGCTACCATGACCAAGCTGCTCCTCGTGCTGCCTCTGAGTGGCCAATAGAGAAGAGCCTACCACACTACTCCAGGAAGTACAGTACCCCCAACAGTACTGCCTCTGTGTGGCCAATAGAGAAGTGATTTCTGATCTGGTTACAGTGTGTTGCCAAAACATTGCTAAGGATGTTTGACTAGATCAGAGGTGAAACATAGTGTGGAACAGGACCAAGGAGTGACAAAATCTCACCTGGGCTTGTACTTTCTGAATACCTGTAATATAGACTCATCTCAGGAAAAACCACAATTAGCTCTGAACATGAGTTTATTAATTCGCTTATTTATTTATCAAATTTCTAAACGGCCCATCTCACTTATAGAGCAGCTCTTGTGTATTCACACTTAGTAGGGTGGTAAAGGCTTATCTGATCTTCAAACCAATATATGTATACACACAAAGGTGAGAAACGCACATACACATGTGTGGAAACACATATATATAGAATTAAGAAATATTTCAGTAATAATGCTGCCTATATAAATATGAATTTAAGCATGCCCAAGGGAAAAAAGCATGCTTTAAACATGTGTTTTGTCATAAGTTGAAAAATGTTCATCAAGATAGTAAATAAGGGCAATTTAAAAATGGACTAGGAACTGATGGGGTAAATCACAAGAAGACAACTGAGTTGTAGTTTCCCTCTTTAGCCACAAGACATGTGGAGTGGAAGACATGCCAAATTAAAATAGATAAAAATGGTTAAAAATGATGCGTCAATTTTCCTAGGGACTTTGTCTTTTCAACCAAGTTTATTTGCAGCTAGCTAACATTCACATTGAGGTAGTAAATACAAGAACATATGTGATTTTTTTTTAATGTGCCCTTTGACTGTCAATTTTTCCCAAACAGGTGTTGGTTAAATGATTATAAATTGGCCCCTGGATACACCTCTTCAACTGAGCCGTACAGGACTGGAGATAATATAATTAGAGTAAAAACATCAGGCTGGTGAATGCTTTCCATCTGTTTGGCAATAATATTTAGTTAACAATAGTCTTTAAAAAGAAGCACCTTCAACTTCCCTTCTTAAAGTTATTTATAGAGTCATTCTTAACACCCCAGCACTCTTGCTAACAAGAGCTTTAGCCACTTGGAAATTATTAGCCATAAGGCTAATAGCATGAAGAAACGTCTGTACACAGCATCTGCAGCTCTCCAAATTTACACGAAGCAACCTCATTTTAGAGTCATTTCTTAATGAATGGGCTTACGACTCTGCATTAATATTATCATTGCATACACAAAAGATCATAAGGAGCCAAGCATTTAAACAACACACACAAAAAACCAACACTAGGCTAATCGGTAGTGAAGCCATCAGCATAAAGGACAGAATAATCACTTCTTTAACCCTCAAGAGGGCTGGATCATTTATAGGGTAGAACACACAATTTAATAACACTGCTCATGGCTTTGCTCACCTTTCTAAAGACAAAAATCTAATTTGAACTAATTTGATATGACCGTCTTCCCAATCAAAAGCACCCAACACAAACTTTCATTTCAGGATAAAACAACTGCTATAACCAAGCCAATATGAAATAATTACCTTTGATAAGCATATTGTTATTGGGATGGTTACAATTAAAAGAAAGCTTCTTTTAATTCCACATACTTGTTTATCTACAGTTACCTACTATGCAGCAAAGCTTTAATTGAATATGTTGTCTAAGCAAGAATCACTCACAAACAGATCATAAACTATATCAGGATAATTTTTCTTAGTTGCTTCAGAATCTCTATGAATAACCTTGAGTGTAGCTCACGCTTCTATTCTTGTCAAATGTGGAATTACCATTTATGGTAGGTTTGCCAGTCTATGGTTTGATACAATTTCTCTGTGACAGTTGATGCCACATTATAAAAAAACAGGATGCCAACAGGATGCCCTTGCGAGAGAAAGCAAATGAGAAAAAGTGAACTGAATAGATTGCTCATCTTTTCCTTATTTCATTTTTTAATGAATGAATACACTGTTTACCAAAGAAGTGTGAAATATATTCTTACATGTATTATTAGGCGTCTTCATACATATTCCGGCACAGTGGAGAACTTGTAGCTCTCCCCCCACCTCCAAGATTTTGCACTCTGAATTCCCATCCATCCACCCAGCATGCACAACCAAAATAACTATAGACTTACAACAACATAAATTCTTTATCTATTATAGTGCTACATGTATCAAAATAATGACAGAGGAAGTTTTCTTACATCAGGACAAACAATTTGTCCATCTGTTCTATTAATGCCTACTCTTTCTATCAGTAACTCTCCACAATCTTGGGCAAACATCTTTCACATTATAAAATAACTGATTCTTTTAAATGAAGATGCTACAACCCATCTGATATTTTTTTAAAATGCAAAGCAAATAACATATAATTCAGCTCTGGTCCCTTTCTGCAATTAGCCTCCCACTACAACACATCTCTCTGAAAAAGCTTCCATAACTATTACTGGTCCTTATCCTGGAGCAGATAACAATTTACTGGAAGGGCTAGAAAGGAAAACCCAACCCAATACCATGCTCTTGTATTGTTTTATTGATATCATTGAGTTACTGGGAATCATGGAACAAGATTGATTTACAAATCAGCAAGAGCTAACTTTTACTCAACCTGCTTAAAGTCAGTTAATGTTTTCCTGAGTTAACTAAGGGGATAAGATAAACTAGACGTTCAGATTACCAACTTCCTTAATAAATAAAGGAGCAGGCAGTACTCCTGAGGAGCCAGACTTGGACCAAGTGGCTCCAGTTTCCTCTAGCTTATTTTAAATAATATTAAAGCCAAGGCAGTACCTGTCTACTATTTTGAAAAATAATGACAGCAAATGCCTGAAAAATGCATTAAAGACAAATATGCAGATCATGTTTTTTTAAACAACAACTAGAAAAACAGCATAAGCCCCTTCAAAGGAGTCTTTGTGCTTTGACAGTACTTTCAGTCTCCAAGAGCCATACTAAAGGTACAAAAATGTATGTAAATTAGGACAAATTGCTATATATGGAACAGAATATATGAGAGCACCGAGTAAGTTTAAAAGAAGGAAAGGCTCCAAAAGATTAAGAGTTCTTTAGTTTCTGAATTTCAAAAGTTAAACATACTGTGATTCTAGTCCTGTTGAGCAAAAATACATGCTAATAGAAAGCACAAATGTGCAATTACATAGTAGTTTACGCCACGGTTATTCCCACTGAATTTAATAGGCTTGTTGTCGGTTAAGTATTACACAGATTGCAACCTTGTTTCCCTACAAAGGGCTTATGTGGGGAGAGGTGAAGTCAACATTACTTTTATCCCACTTCACAAAATTACACATAAATTTTTGAGTGTTTTGATTGGGATCCAGCAGTTCAGTCTGCTATAAAGAAAAAAATTGGTTTATAAATAAATGCACTGGGGAAAAAAGAAAAAATAGGGGAGTAAAATGCTGGTAAATAATCATTCTTTAGCCTAAAGAAAATAGTTGATTTTAGATGCCTTTAAACACATAGACATTAGCAACTGTTTCAGTATGCTAATTTTTTAATTAAAAGATACTTCTGCAGCAAGCGCTCTTTCATATGCACTGCTGACTCTTCATCAAAAGCAAAGTTTCCAACTTAACACCCGCATAGCTGGTGGCAGCCTGAAGGGTTACCATCTGCTGCCACCCCAAGTCATGGTGGCCACCTTCAGAACATATGCATCAAAGTGCCAAGATTAGAGGCCGAAGGAATACAGAAGTTGGCAGAAGGGGAGCCGTAGGCCCAGAGGCAGGCAACAGGCAAGCCACCAGAAGCAAAGAATATGGCGAGCCATTAGTCACCTTATTCAACTCCTTGCCAAGGTCACGAGGACATAACTGGATGAATTAAGAATCTAGAATAAAAGCTTCCATCTCCACAGGTTGTTAAAGTAAACTGAACTGGCCTATTAATTGGGGCAACTGCTTTATCATCTCACTACACTACCCTGTGTTGTTTCCTTGTTTTTCCCCAGAAGATAACTTTTTCCGATTCCTCTTTCAAATTATGGAAAGGTTCTTTTTAGTTTTAAATTATCAGTTTTGCATTTGACTAGGAAGAACAGGCTCCTGGCTAGGAAAGTAAAGTTGCTACTTAAGCAAGAGACTGCTTTTTCTTTCCACAGGATGGTGAGGAACTTGTAAAGTTGTGGACTTGCATGGAAAAAATGGTAAACTGAAGATGGCCCCAATGAACACGTCAGAATGAAAAGCCAATAGACTCTCTGTAAAGCCTCTCCAGACAAGGAGAGGACCTGAGATCATCCACAAGTGCTCCATACAATTAATCGTCATGGTGTCTGGTGGGTTTAGCACTCTGAGGGATGAGAGAATAAAAATCTTGCTCAAACTACAATTGGTACCTTCAAAAGGACACTGAGTTTGTGTATGTCCTTTTCTAACCACTTTGGAATTTGCTTGTTAACTGCTTTTTAGCTATTGCATGACAAGCTTTACAGCACTGGGTGAGCTTTCTCCAATTCTTAGTGAAAGAAATTCTAAATACAAGTGTAAGCACTTTTTACTAAGTCATGAAACCTTATTAAGATTTTTAAAAAATGAGCACAATTCCATCTTTATGTTTTAAAGGATGTCTTAATTGTTCATAATGGCTTCAGCTATTTTAATTGTTTAAACAGTCTAGATTCTGGGGTTCTAAACCACTTGTAACAAAGGTGCAAACCTAGTGCAACTTCCACTCTAGACCAGCATTTCTCAACCTTGACAGCTTGAAGCAGTGTGGCCTTCAACTCCCAGAATTCCCTAGTCAGTCTTCAAATTGTTAAGGTTCACACATCTTCACGTTGCCAATGTTGAGAAAGACTGATCCAGAGATTTCTACCAAATTGTAAAATGAATATAACAGAAGAAAGGGGAAACTGTTATTTTTATAACAAGTGATCATATTGAACTTATTTCATATACAATATTAAAATCAAACCTCACTTTTCTCCTGCTTCCACCAACCCTGGTGGTGCCAGTTTTGGACTATAGCCCTTGCATGCTATTCAGTGGTCAGGTACAGCTCAAGGCCCCCCAAAAGGTTGAGTGCTACTGGCCTATAGACAATGATTGATTAATATGATAATTAATCACAAGGATAACAGTGCAGAGATGTAATATAAAACAATAGTAGAGGTATGTATCCATTTATTCTGAGGGACATCTTATTCCCCCAGACACTTGGCTAGATATAAATTGTTGCCACACAAATCATTCTTTTCATGGACATTATGGCCACTGTCATAAATCTAAAACCAGTTTTAACATAAAAGGCAGACTTACTCTCTCAGATGCACATACATACCCAAATTGGAAAGCCCTTTCTATTTGCCACATATAGATTATAATATAATAAATTTGCTACAGTTTAGATTAAACTGGTTCACCTTCAGTAACCAATTGGCCATTCCTTATTTGATTAGCCCATTTGCTACAAGGATTACCTTGAGTCAGCCAAAATCCCATAGGCCTGCTACATTTTTATTTTTTCACTTTATTAACAAGAAAAAAACAAATATACTGTAAAGTGGTTGGTTCTATCCTAGTCACTCTAATCCATCCTGCTCCCTTCTCACTTCTAGCAAATGTGTACCAACTTCAGCTTCCACTAGAATTTAGTCTCTGATACTAGTTCACATACCATCAGGCATTATATATTTTTAAGAAGACTAAGAATATTTAGTATCCAACTAAATATATTTTTTACAACAACCTTTAAAAGGCATTTTAACTCTCTCAAGGAACTCATGGAAGATCATAGGAACACATAAACATTGTATATTTATTCCTTGGTTTTCTATACATTAATATTTCTATAGTACAGTATCTTCCATATTTGTCCTAGGAATTTTGCAAATCTATTTCAAGAATTCAAACAATCCTAAGATCTGATTGTCTATCAATAACCAATAAAAATTTTGAATGAATTGACACTGGAACCAAGGATTTTCAACATTTACCTCAAAAAGTTGGCTAAGCTATACCAACTATTTGCCATCAGTATCTTTCTTTATTACCTATTAACCCAGTTTCATTTGATAATACAATATCTAGCATCATTAAACATCAACAACCATTTTTAGTCTTTTATATCTTGCCTTTATTATTTTTATAAATAAGCCAAGATGGTGACTATGGTGGTTGTTTCATCGGCTGAAAGAAAATGACTGGCCCAAAGTCGCCCAGCTGGCTTTCATGGCTTTCATGCCAAAGGCAAATCTAGAACTCACAGTCTGTTTGTTTCTAACCTGGTGCCTTAACCACTAGACCAGTGGTAGGCAACCTTGGCTCTTTTATGACTCGTGGACTTCAACTCTCAGGAATTCTGGGAGATGAAGTCCACGAGTCATAAAAGAGTCAAGGTTGCCTACCCCTGCACCAGACCAAACTCGAAGCAGCTTTATTTTAGGTATTTCAGTTAGCCAAATTTCATTCATTATTTGTATCACCTGGAGATTTGAGGAAAGAAGAACCAGCAGACCTAGAAAAAAGGTTAAATAACTGGCTCTACCAAAAATGTAGTAAACAATACTGAAGAAAAACTTTGCTGGTGTTTGAACTCAGTTTTTGAGTTATGGCTGTCGAATTTTCCAGCTTGCCTTCTTTCAAAGTTGTTTGTCCCCTGGTACTATCTTGGCAACTTTCTGAAAGCGCGCAGAGCAATTCTTTTTAAAAACAAGGCCCTTCTCACAGAATGGAACCAAACATAATTCTTTTACTCAAATATATTTTGCATGACCTTACATGAATTGCTTAGATAAAAGCCTTTCTTTTCCTTCTACTTTTGTTATTTTAAAGTGCAGATGCATTTGAGTCATTTTCCTCCTTTGTTTCATATCCTTAAGAACAGCAGCTTCAAAGACAAAATGTCAGCATGCAGTCGATTTATGACTGAACTCTTGAAGAGACACTGAAGAATTACCTTGTCAATCACCCCAAGGACTCGAAAGGCCTTCAGTTCCTCGGCAGGGCTCCTTAGGTTCCAAGAGGGCCTTGAACTGAGTGATCCTGGAGGCTAATGGAAGATATCAAAGATTACAACATCAATCAGGGTGGTACTTGAAGGAAGGTTGCCTGCTGAAGCAAATGCCAGGCTGAAGGAAACTAAATTTATCATAAATCAGAGGGAAGGCAGATGAAAGAAGTTTTCTGTTTGTCCTTAATGCAAAGAGGAAAAAAATAAGTTGATAGTAAATAATTTGCAAGAGATGAAAATGCATATAGGGCAGAAAGGAATATTAATATTTTTTTAAATATTCACAATTCATACAGTTCCCTAGTACTTTATGCAAGCAGGAAAACTTGGGTACAATACACATTATTACTCAAATTATAAAGGAACAGAAATGGGGTCATAAAATAAAGCATATTCATAAATAATATTGTGTGCGATGCCTTCACTTGAAAGAAAGTTTGAGGACAAGTACGTTTGTTACTAAATGAATATTTTTTTTTAAAGTTTTCAACTTTGATGAGATCTATTACAGAATTCCAAGGAATGTATTACCCTAAGAATACAACAAATGACCCATAAATAAAGCCACATAACTGAATATTAATCATTTTCCTCCTCTACATGGAAGCATTCTTTCTCCTTGTCATCTTCAGTTGCCTATCATCTTTATAATCACCAACCTGATGGCAACACATGCCACTCAAAACTGCAATCTGAAATGGAATAGGCCACTTTGCACTTCTGGGCTCTGCCACATCGGTTCTCTACATAAGCTGACCAGTTTCCAGTTAACTTCTGTAGGCAAGAATTTGCAGACTCTCATTAAGTCATAAGAGTTTATGATGTGTCCTAAATCTAGGTATAGTACTGAGGGAACACACTAGGGAACTTCTCCAATGAAATCACAGAAAGACTTGTGTTATTTTATTTTGTATAGCAGAACGCTGTTATTAATTTGCAAAAGAAAGACCTCAAGTACACTTGGTAATGCTAATGCAAATTAGCCAGTCCAGAAGACTAACCCTCATGGACAACTCCCTTCAGGGAAAGAAAATTGGGTTTTCTTACAAAAGTGCACCTATAAACATCATTTAGCAATATTCAAGATCAATCAAAATACAGAGGAGAAGATTGAAAACTCATACATTCATATTCATGCCCAAACATAGTTCATTAGGTAATATAGAACTGTTTACAATTCTTAAAATTAAGTTTAAGGCAAATAATATGCTTTACAAGTATTTTCTAATTCAGGGCCATCCATTATCAGAGAAAACCTAGGTTTGATGTTTTTCACATACTTAAATTACTCTATTTTTGTCCTACTATCACAAGCCATTCTGAACATCACATTATATTTCATGAGAAAATGAGGTAAAATCTGGATGAAGAAAACTAATATAAAGTAAGGCTGCCTGTAAATATGAAATTAATTACAATAGCAACATTCCTTCTGATATGGCAGCTTAAAGCAAAGTATGAATTGTTATACGGAGGACAGTCTAAAGGCTGAACTATATTAGTCTGTGAATTAAAAGAAGAAATAGCTTGATGAAATCTTAACATTTTCACAAATCTTCAGGAACAACTTCGAGGGGAGGAGGGGTAAGAATGAATGGAATGGAATGGAATGGAATGAATGAATGAATGAATGAATGAATGAATGAATGAATATAGGCCTTTAGCCTATTTTATTACCCAGGTAGAATTACTGAAAGAATCAGAAGAAAAAAAGGTTACTTCTCCACTTTTCAAGAAGTTTTCCCTATTCCATCCTGTTACAGAGCAGTAATGGCTAGGACTTGAGATGTTTTAAAAGACAGAAAACACTGGTACAGTTTTTTCTTTTTTCCTAACTTTTTCACTTAATAAACACTGATAGGCACTGCAAGAAGCTTGTTCCACTCTGGCTAGATTGCCAAAACTAACCTATGTATTGGGAATAAGAATGCCCCAAATTTGCTATAGGTTGCTTTTGGTAAATTTCAAACATGTACCTTTTCCACTTTATTCCAGCTTGCACTTGGTTAAATTTATTCCAGAGAATGTAAAAAGGGATACTGGGAAAACTGGATTTTGAAAATGGAAGGCTGAAGCTAGGATCTACATCAAAATTATTATTTGAGCCTGACCCTCTCACATCTATTCTTTTATATCTTGGATTCTTTCGCTACACAATTTTGCATAAATAGGTGGAATCTCCTTCAAGTCACACATAGTAGTGACAAAATAGACAGATTACCTCTGGTAATTATGCAAATTTGCACATAGAATTCACTGCCATATAAAGAAATTTGTCTTTCATTAAGCAGATCAGTATTATAATGCTGGAAAGAACCCTAAGGGAATTTTAACTTCAGTCTCTGCTATGGCTGGGTCCCCCTTAACATATGCATATCTACAAATTAAGTTAAAATTAAGCAGTCCACAAGAGGAGGGGGAACTGAGGAATCCTTCAAAGCTTACATGAAAACTTCTACTGCAGAAGAAATTTCCCCCAGTTTTTTTTCTCTGTATGAAAACAGGCTTAAAAAACAGAGTAATTGCTGTCCAGTTCAATAGATTATTTCTCTGTATGCTCAACACTGCACCATTCCTCTATCTCCACTGAAGATCTGCCTTGAACTATTATCAGGATTATTTAAAGTAAAGCCAAGAACTCTGTGGCCATTTTGTGATCCAAGTGGGAATCTGAATTTTTAACATTTCTACACCAGTGCAATCACCAACAATCGCACCAGAGCTGTAGAAAGGATTCCCAGAGTATGAACAAAAAGGTCCCAGGGAAGTTCATTTTATTATTTTATTATATTGTTGCTGTTACTGAGATAGAGTAAAGTCAAGATTTGTCAAAAAGCTCTTAGGCTTGGAGTTCAAGAACAAATACAGCAATTCCAATACTACAAATGCAGTATTAGTGCTATCTCTTTCTTTTAAAAGAGTTGTTTAAAAAAAAAAAAACACCTCAGGACACCTTCTCTTCTTCAATGTTCCCAATCTGCTTTTTTCTCCAAATCTGACCTCGCTATCATTTCACTTTATCTCAAATTATGTGTTTCTGCACTGTTTGCATTCTGAATGCAGCATTTTTTGTTTTGACAAACTGTCTTCATGGAAAGCTCAACCTGATCAGGACCAAAGTATTGTTCTGACCTTTCCTCTCCTTCTCCTCCCGGGAGCAAAGGAGTTTAATAAGGCCCCACTGGTGTCAGTGAATCAGAGTGCAGAGAAGAGCAACAAAGATGATTAGGGAACTGGAGGCTAAAACGTCAGAAAAATAGTTGCTGGAATTGGGTATGTCTAGTTTAATGAAGAGAAGGACGAGGGGTGACATGATAGCAGTGTTCCACAAAGAAGGGGTTGCCACAAAGAAGAGGGAGTCAACCTATTCTCCAAAGCCCCTGAAGGCAGGACAAGAAGTAATGGATGGAAACTAATCAAGGAGAAAAGCAACCTAGAACTAAGGAGAAATTTCCTGACAGTGAGAATAATTAATCAGTGGGATGATTTGCCTCCAGAAGTTGCGGATGCTCCAACACTGGAAGTTTTTAAGAAGAGATTGGACAACCATTTGTCTGAAATGGTATAAGGTTTACTGCCTGAGCAGGGGGTTGGACTAGAAACTCTACAAGGTCCCTTCCAACTCTGTTATGCTGTTAATTCTTTTGCTTGGCAATGATAATTTCAGGAATACAGAACACAATCCAGATAGGATAGCAGCAAAAGAATTAACACTCCATGCTTACCACACCAGGATCCCAATCTAAGACAACCCCGTCCCTAATTATTTCTCTAATACACACACAATCTGTGCTCAAAATAACAGATTGTCTGATCCTCACAAATAAGATCTAAGGATTACCTCCATATCTTCTCTAAATTCAGGGTAACAGAAATCTCTCTAGCAATTTATTTGTTCTTACCTCACTAACAAGGAAAAAAATTAAAAACTGCTTTCCTTAGCTACATATAATGATGCTAATGCTGATCCTGGCTGTGGTATTCTTTCTTAATAATGGATAAATATGTAACATTTCTGAAGAATCAAATAGGATCAGAAGACTGTGGGACACTTTCCTTCACTATGTTTTTAGCCCTTTATTTTATCTTATCTTATCTTATCTTATCTTATCATCTTATCTTATCTTATCTTATCTTATCTTATCTTATCTTATCTTATTTTATTTTATTTTATTTATTTTATTTTATTTTATTTTATTTTATTTTATTTTATTTTATTTTATTTTATTTTATTTTTTTTTTTTTTTTTTTTTTTTTTTTTTTTATTTTTTTTTTTTTTTTTTTTTTTTTTTTTTTTTTTTTTTTTTTTTTTTTTTTTTTTTTTTTTTTTTTTTTTTTTTTTTTTTTTTTTTTTTTTTTTTTTTTTTTTTTTTTTTTTTTTTTTTTTTTTTTTTTTTTTTTTTTTTTTTTTTTTTTTTATATATATATATATATATATATATATATATATATATATGCATTTATTTATCTAGCATAAACTATATTTATTTATTATCATATTTATATTTTTGGGTACTGTTAATCATAAAGAAATTCAATCAGTTGTGAAGTAGGCACAACATATGTACATATGTGTACACAAACACAAGAAAATTAAATATTTTAGAAATAAAAAAAAACCTACGCCAAGTACTGAGGCATCTTCTGATGAGGGTCTACAGTAAAGACTGGAAATTTTTTCTGCTCTCATCAGATATTCTGAAGTCTTCCTCTTCACTGCTTCACGACGAGTTGGACTTGATTCTCCTGTGTACCATAAAAGAATATATTTATAAGCCTGAAATCTCTGCAACAATTTCTTTTCCAGTTATAGTCCAAGAAATTTCAAGACACAAATCTTTTTTTCTGGAAAAGTAATCACAATAGAAATTTTAATGCATTGTTGCTCCTATCACCAAATGGCTACCACAGGATGTTCATCAAAAAATGGCTACTATAGTTAAGATAGTATATCACTAGACACCCATGTGCAAACATCTATGACAACGTCTGAACACCAAAAACGCAGAACAATGCTACTGAACCCATTTTTTTCTGTAACAGAATCCTATTTCATAGGATTTATGGAAACTCTTTCACCCTCCACTCCAAACATGCAAGATCTATTTATCCCAGCCTTCACTTTTTTCCATATAGCTGTTCTACAGATTCCCTAATATGATCCACGGTAATGGATCATATCCATATCCTAGATCCTGTTTAAGTATTTTCTGTTCCTACGTTATTTTTATGTTTATATATGAAATTTAGAAACTGCCCATCTCACTCAGATCTGTCAGATTGCTCACATATCACAGAGATGTGAATTTGATATATGTCTCAAAATTTTATATAAAAAACATATAAAATTCTGGTACAGGTAATCCTTGATTTACAACAGTTCATTTAGTGACTGTTCAAAGTTACAGCGGCACTGAAAAAAGTGACTTACGACTGTTTTTAACATTGTTATAGCATCCCCATGATCACATGATCAAAATTCAGACGCTTGCAAACTGACTCATATTTATGATTGTTGTAGTGTCCCGGAGTCAAGTGATCACCTTTTGCGATCTTCTGACAAGCAAAGTCAATGGGAAAACCACATTCACTTAACAAACGTGTTACTAATTTAACAACTGCAGTGATTCACTTAACAACTGTGGCAAGGAAGGTTGTAAAATGGAGCAAAATTCTCTTAACAAATGTCTCACTTAGCAACAAAAAATTTGGGCTCGATTGCGGTCGTAGGTCAAGGACTATCTGTATTTCAATAAAAGGAGGCCATTCAAACAAGGATAGAATAATCAAAGTTAAAAGGGCAGGGGGGGGCTCTGAAGGCATTTACCAACCCCAAGATTGTGTGTTCCTCTGAGATCCCCATGCAAGTCAACAGAGCCAAGTCTTCACGCTCTTCCAAAAGCATGGGAGAGTGGGCGTCTTGCCTTGAGCTATTGCAATTTATTTTCCTCTCTATTCCAATGTTAGTACAAACATATCCCCATGAGATGTTTTCCCAGTGTTTTCATAAAATCTTGCCTGTAATATACAAAATCAATCACAGCAAATACACACTCCTATACAAGAACAAATTTTCACAAAATTTAGCTGCCTAGCAGGGAGCGGGGGGGGGGGGTGAAGCACCTCCTTCCTCACATAGATATGGCCATTTTTTAGGATTTTATGATGTTGTAATGGGAGGCTTAAACCTTCAAATTCCTATGGCACACTTTTTTTTTATCTTAAAACTCCTAGACACTCATATACCCAGAAAGAAACAAAAAGACACTACACAATCTAGGGATTAGCTATATAATGTTTAGTAGGTTATGACAGTACCAAATTAGTGAATTTCTATCCTCTTTTGTTCCTCCTTTCTACTTTTCTCAGATACTCACTCCCTGGACTTAGAATTGTCTTAATTTTCAGATATGCCAAATTTTACATTTTCATTTTACTATCTGTTACATGGGTTGAATTTTATATATAATTAATTACTTAATATCTCATAATGTAAATATTTTTAATGTGCTATTTTTCAGTTATGTCTTAAATTTCTCCTTAAATGAAAGAATTACAATACCAATTATTTATAACAATTAATGTTTGGCTCTGAAATAACATCCCTGCTAAAAAAAATAATACCTCTAACTGTATTGCTAAAAACATTAAATGCCAAAGTTGCAATTAATGATTCTTAAATATTCAAGTTCACATTGCCTTCACGTGTCCTGAGATTTTCAACAGAGTATGAAGTCACATTACTTCTGAATAATCCTTGAGATTTTTATGCTTTGAGATTTTTTTTAAAAAAAAAAACATTAAAAAACATCAGGAATGTGTGCTAGGTATATTAAAGCTTTTAATTAATCTTTATAGCACAATCAAGCAAGGTCATCTTTCTTCAAACAAAATATTCATTTTCTATTTAGATGTCTTCCTTGATACCAGCAGATATTTGTGTTTCATTTGATGAGGATCAGAGGGTTTTTACCTGAATCAGACTTTTATAAATAAGGCAATGTTGATTTTTTAAAAAAAAAAAAAGATCTTCCTCTGAATAGATATAAAAAGTGTGATAATGCTGATGACAGAGACCTTCAAATAAAAACCCTTCGAGATTCCTCCTCTCTCTCTCTCTCTCTCTCTCTCTCTCCCCATTTGCTATACTGCAGCTGTGCCTCGCACAAATTCACATGAATGAAAATATTTAGGCGAGAAACCACCCCCTTAGCTTGTTTTCCATATGACTTTCCTGTAATTATTTTGTAATCTGTTCGCACAACAATATATAAAAACATCTGCAAAAACAGGTAATTAATGTGTCAAGCTAAACTAATGCATTTTTATGGTGGGCATGCTTCGTCAACTGTAATTATAACTCTTTTTAAGCAAATGATGATGTGTTTGTTGCAATGTGAAAGTGGTTATTTTAGATGCTCTGTTCACCATTCCTGCAAACAGAATATTAAAAAAGAAAAGATGAAAAATAACTACACTGCTACCAAGCAACACATATAGGCTTCTAGCCATTTTTAATTATTTGCTGTTTCCATTGCAAATCATCCTGTATGTTAAAAAAAAGAGGGGGGGGAGCATTTTCTTTTATTTGCATCAGCAGCTGAGTGGGCTTATATTTGCTGCAACTAAGCTAGTACAACACTTGGGTTCTCGCAGCGTGGAAAGGATATAGGCTGCTTCCCTGGCACTTGAGCCAGTTTCAAGTGTGAAAAGGCCCCCCAGTCTTCTCAGTGGGTATTGGTGAATATGTGCAATGATGATTGCAAAAGTATTCTGAATATCTGGGGCTAACTGCCATTTCTAAAAATATAAGAAGGGTCTTGTGGACTAGGCCAAAGTCATGTCTAGTCCAGAATGGACCCAACCAGGGGTATCTGAGAAACTTACAAAGAGATACAGAAAAGTTATAATCCCTTTCCGTGTTTTTTTTTTTCCCAGCAGCTGGTTTTCCAGGCTTGCTGCCTAGGATTCTGAAATCATAGTCATTAAGCCTAGTAGCCACTGTTAAGCTGATCCTCCATGAATCTGTCCAATTCTCCTTTAAAACTGTCTAAATGGGTAACCATCATCACGCCTGAAGTTAGCAAATGCCAGTCTGTGTCATGAAAATCAAAAACATTGAATTCATAGCCCTGTCTTCTTTTACTTGACGAATACACTTCTCGTGTGGCTCGTGTGTCTTTTAGATTATCTCTAGTTTAGCTTGTTGTCCAAACTGTAAGCTATGGTTGATTGTAATTATGGTTAATCAAAATAAAACAAAGTCATAAACTCTTAAATGAAGTTGGCTTCTTTCCATTTATCCAAGTTAAGAGTTATATTGTTCCTCCAAGGTCAGGCAGCACAGCAAGCTGCAATTAATCTGAAATATAAAATAAAGGTTATGGAATTGTTTGGCTTGTTGCTGTATTGAAGAAGATAGGGAGAACATGCAAGTATAAAGCTTGTCTAGATTTGTTCTGGTGACATTTACTAGGGATTAACAATATCATTAAATAAATTATGAATAGTAACAGCAATAATATTATTAATAAAATCCACCAATGAAAAAGGAGGGGAGAATTAAATTAAGACATAGCATCATGTCTTAAATCCCCATTGTTTTATATAAAGATATGTTGGTTTTTAACCAAACTGAAGACAGCATACGATAAACATTACAGACAATTAATAGCAATGTATAAAATTAGTTTGGCTAGTTAACTATTTAGAGCAACTAAATTAAAATATAGAATAAAAGGTTATGTCATTAAACCCCAAATTTATGGTACTTACTGAATTTGTAAAGTGGAGCAAGCAAACATTCTGCAGCTGCTTATTAAAATCAGGCCCCAAGTGCTATCAGCAGCATAGGCAAGAGTGCTTTGGACTCACCGGGAGAGGGATTGAAATGTGCAGCCCATCTGATGAAAAGGTAAGTTTACAGAGCAAATGCAAATTCACCTATTTGCATTTTATTTTAGCAAAACATAGGAAAAAAACCACCAAACATGAGCATTTTTGCTCCTAAATTTCAGCCCCCCAAATGGAGAATACTTTGAAGGTCGCAAGACGGGGTTAAGTGTGGTTCCTGTAGGTGCAGATCACCCACCCGGATATAGTGTTCTACTCATACAACTCAGAAAAATAATAATCTAACACATGGACATTAAGAGTAGTTCCACTTTTAGAGAAACTAATGAATATCCATTATAATATTTTATCTGGCAATATAGCTTTAGGTTGTCAGACAATATATGTCAACAATGCATTCTTGTCACATTCATATACTTGGTCCGTAATATATTATTTATGGAGTAGCTTAAAAAATTTAAGAGATGTGTAAACCTAAATATGAAATGCTCACTTATTTAGAATTGTTAATATATATTTTACAACCACTGTCAATTTAATGCTTTGCACCTTCATCCTACCAATAGAGCTAAGAGATATTAATTTTTAAAATTATTATACAGCCAGCAAAAAAAGCGACAAGACAATTGAAACCTAAATGAGATTTTTTTTGGGGGGGTGGTGTATGTGTCAAATGACTTTCTTCAGTAGGCTTCAAAGCCAACGGAAAATCAGAAAAACTGTTTGTTTTATCAGTGAAGGGTCTCTGCTTGTTAATTTCACAGCAGAAGCTTCAGGGCTCAACAATGGCAAGTATGGGGCCAGGAATCCTCAGTGCAGAAGTTCATTAATTCAGGAGGGATCAAGGTTAATTTGATCATCAATAAGTGTCAATGAGATAATAAAGTGTTGGG